GACCACTGGAGCGCGGCGCCCTCGCGGTCCGCGCGGTCCGCGGCGCCCGGCGGCGGCGCGGCGGCGGCGACGCGGAGGACCTCGAGGCGCGCGGCGTCGCGGCTCGCCGCGTCGGCGCCCGGCGCGCCGTCGAAGAGGCGGGCCGCGAGGGCCGCCGCGCGGCGGGGCGGCGTCGGGTCCGGCGCGGCGCACTCGAGCTCGTGGCCGTCGTCGTCGTCGTCGTCGGCGCCGGCCCCGGGGGGGGCCGCGCCGCGGCCCGCCTCGACGTCCGCGGCCGGCGCCGCGTCGGGCGCGTCGCGCGCGCCGCCGCGGCCGCGGTCCCTGATGACGAGCTCGAACTTCTCCGGCGGCGGCGGGCGCGCCCCGCCGAGGCCGACGAGGCCCCGGAGCTCGCCGACGGCGGTCCCGAGCGCCGCGGACGCGTCGCCGAGCGTCGCCTTGGCGCTCTGGGGGAGCCAGTTCGACAGCGACAACCCGACCATGCCGTTGTCCGCGTCGTCGCCGCCGCCGAGGAGGCGGTCGAGGCGGTCGACCTCCTTGGGCGCGAGGCGGAGGCGCTCGCCGATGGGCTCGAGGAGCGGGCCCACGAGGATGCCGAGGAAGCAGCAGAAGACGCCGATGGAGCAGAGGCCGACGAGGCACGCCGTGAGCTTGCCGAGGCGGTCCTCGGCGTGCTTGTCGTGGGCCAGCGGGATGTGCGTCGACGTGAGGTTGCTCAGCACGAGGTAGAAGCAGTCGACGTAGGCCCAGCCCTCGACCTCGTAGAGCACGAGGCCCCCGACCAGACTCACGGCGACGGTGAAGGCCGGGAGGAGCACGAGGGCGATGAAGAGGAGCTTCTTCACGGCGTCGCGGCACTGGCGGCGGATGCGGTGGGCGTCGACGACGCGGACGCACATCTCGAGGAACGAGCTGAACGTGATCTCGCCGTCCGCGAAGATGAAGTCGAGCGCGGGCCCGCTCGGCGCCTCGCCGACGCGGAGGAGGGGCAGCGCGGCGAGGAACTCGCCGCGGTCGATGGTGCCGCTGCCGTCGACGTCCGCGATGGACAGCGCGCGCCGGAGCGCGCCGCGGCGCCTGCGCGCGAACCGGCGGCTGAGTTTTGGACGCATCGATGGCTCTCGTCGGGTGCTCGACGCGCGGCGGACGTGTGTGTGTCGCCACGTTCGACGACGCGCGCGTCGAAGTCGGGCGGAGGATTCGACGCGCGGCGCGGCGCTGGATGAGCTTCGTCGCGAACCACGCGAGCTCGTCGCCGCGCCCCCGGAAGCCCCCGGGCGGCGGCGTCGCCGGCGGCAGGTCCCCGAGCTCGGCGGCGAGGTCGCCGGCCTCCGCGGCGTCGTCGGCGGGCCGCCGCGCGCGCGCGGCGGCCTTGGCGAGGAGCAGGTCGTCCGGGTCCAGGTCCGTGCCCTCGGCCTCCGCGGGCATGGTCAGCGCCCGCGACGCCTCGAGGATGGGCAGCATGAGCGGGCCCGCCGCGAGGCCGCAGATGCAGCCGAAGAGCACGAGGGCCACGAGCCCGAGCAGCGCGGCCGCGGCCTGGGCGGGACGAGAGAGATGCAACGTCGCTTTAACGTGAGTGTTCCGCGCGCGCGCGTCCCGGGAAAAGCATCCACGCTTCGAGACCGTTCCGAGAGATGATCGCTCGTCCAAAGATCAGCCAAAACGAGTGGAAAACGGCCGAGAAAGGAGCCTTTGAAGTTGGGAATGTCGCTCTCTTGTCCCGCCCCGGCCGCGGCCGTGCCCGCGTCGCCGCGCGGCGAGTTGTCGCGGACGATCTTGATGTTCGTCATGCAGAGCTCGGCGAGGGCGACCCAGAAGCCCTTCTCAAAGGTCCAGCCCTCGGCCCAGGACATGAGCAGGCCCAGGGGCAGGGCCATGGCCGTCGCGACGGCAGGGAGGTAGACGAAGATCGACAGCCCGATCTTCCGGAGCGCGTCGCGGCACTCGCGCCAGAGCTTGTACTGCTCCGTCGCGCGGCGCACCATGCCCAGGAGCTCGCCCAGCGTCAGCACGCCGTCGTCGTCGTCGTCGGCCCGCCGGATGATCTCCGCGGCGACGTACGGCGCCGACGCCGCGTCGACGCCGAACGACTCCGCGAGGCCCGCCGCGAGCTCGTCCCGGCTGAGGAACGCGTCGCCGTTGTCGTCGAGGGTGTTGAACCAGACGACGAGCTGGCTCCGCACGTAGTACATCTGCCGCACGACGAGGTCTGCCCGCCGGCTCGCCTCGAGGGCGCGCACGGCGTCCCAGGCGCCCGTCGAGCTCCGCTTCACGAGCCGCGCCACGCGCACGCGCCAGGGCGTCTCGCCGCCTCGCTTCCTCGCCGGCGGCGCGCGCTTCCGAGGGTTCTTGCGCGTGATGGGGCGCACCATGGCACGGACGAGCCCAGTCCAGCAGCTCGGAGATGCAGCCCGCAGCCCCGGGTGCATCGAGGGGATGGTGACGAGATGGTGAAGCCGACGCCGATAGCCGGGGTCGCCTGTTAGCCATGGCCTCTCGTCCTCGCGACGGCGGCTCCCGGGGCGGCGGCTACGGGCGGTCGCAGCGCGACGAGTACCGCGGCGAGCAGCGGAGCAGCCGCGGGCGCGACGGCGGGCGGCGGCGGCGCGACGACGAGGACCGGCGCGACGGGCGCTGGGACGAGCGGCGCCACGAGCGGCGGCGGGACGACGAGGACCGGCGGGACGGGCGCTGGGACGAGCGGCGCCACGAGCGGCGCGACGACGGCGACCGGCGGTCGCGGAAGCGCCGCGCGTCCCCCCGCGGCGACGCCGCCGCGCGCCGCGCGCCGCGCGACGCGGGCGTGCGCGCCGCGGGCGACGACGACCGGGACCGGCACCGCGACGAGCGGCGCGAGGCGCCGGAGCGGTCGCGGAAGCGGCGGCGCGAGGACGACGACGGCGG